TTATAACAGAATGCACTAATTTTTTTTGGACATGTTTCTCATGAATAGTTAAGGTTTATAGTTATATCAGGAGTCAGAATCAACTTTTAATCCTTTTCCAAATTTGTATCCACTTTATGCCTTGGAAATTAAAACTGTTGAAAGTCTCAAAAAATACAAATCTTTTTTTTTATATATGTATAATATAATTTTTTTCTTTTGCAACAATAAAAGTTTAAGATTTTTAAAGATATTTAAGCACCATATGATTGTAGTGATAGATTATTCTGTTCCATACATATTCTTCTGTGCATGGGTCAAAAAATATCCTATGTTCTACAATGCTTCAGAATGCAATGATAATCATATATTTTAAGAGTTAAACTATCTGTTAGTGACTTTTTAAATTTAAATTATTTTTTTTAAGTTTCTTCATTGTATAAAATTTCATTATATCTTGTAGATAAATTATTCATAGACTATTAAATATTTTAATCAAACTATTAGTTCCCAGTCAAAATCATTTTTTTATATAAATTTATTTGCACTTGAATAGTTATATATTTTTTTACTTTTTTTTGTGTAGAAAATAGATTGCACCATTAGTTAGTAATTTTACCATCTTTATTTCTTCTTCATCACACTTTATTGATTTATACCTATACTGGCCTGTTAGACTTTACTGTCGAATAACACTTTACTTAGACTTAAGATTAGACTTTAGAAATGAATCTCAATAGCAAAGTGTTGTAAAACAAAGTGAAAATAATATTTTTGTGCAATATTAATGTTCATATCTGCACGATCTTTTAAAACATTTTAATCAGCCAGATCAAATGGTAGAACACAACACCTTTCTGTGACTTATTCTTTCTAAGTTTCATGTAAAATAAATTACAAAGGTTTGGCTTTTTATTTTTCAAGTCTAGAAAATATTGAGAGAAATGAGGAATATCAGCATTGATTAAAAAAAAATGGTCTGAAACGATTTTTCTTGTTATTTCTTTAGGTTGGCTTATCATGGTCAAGGGATGGGGGGATTTTTACCATTATCTAAAACACCCTATAGAGACTTGTTATTGTGGGAAGAGATTTCGTGTTTATATTCTATTCTGTAAAATGTTTGTAAAATCTTTTACATGTTTCGGAAATTGCTTCAGAGTTGAAGATAATCTACTTCCTAGTCCAAACCTCATTACAATGAAATCAAAGGTTGTAAAAAATAATGACTTAGTTTTAGTTCCAAGCCATTTAAAAAATTAAAATTAAAGTGATCCACAAAAACCTGCAACATTTTAGAATCACTTCTACTGGAGATTCCCAAAGAGCTAGTGGAAAAGTCATTGTGAATAATGTTTGGGAGGATGACAGTGGGCAGGGTATAAACCCAGGACCATCGAGACAACCGAATGACATTCCAGCATGCATATCACACAACCAGGCAGCCATTGGCATTCCTGCACATTTAAATTTAGGGTAACTTTTGGATAGCCAGTGACAAATGGTTGGTAAAACCTGTATGTGAAAGTAAATATATATTTTGCAGTTTGCAAGTAATTATCTCCCTGCAGTAGTTCTTTACCTTGATTTTACTTTTCATATAAAATGAAGCTGTACAATGTATTTCACCATTAACATTTTAATTTCATTTAGATATTATGTAAATCTAACCAATCACTGTATAGCACACCATTTACATTCTTTGTCATGCTTACTTAAAAAGTTTGAAACGATTTTTCTGTATGTGTTATCGATGTAGGCTTTAAAATAGTTACTAGTTTTGTCTAGTTAGATATAATCGTCAACCATTTTGGTTGTCACTGACATTTTTTTTTCTTCCCATTACTAGAATCAAATGTTACAACATTGTACTTTATTTTTTAGGTTTAAGTAAGTATTTCTCAAGTAGATGGAATTTTGTTTTGTATGACTTGAACTAAGTAAAAAATCACTGATCATACACTTTTTTTATTTTTTCTAAGACTAAAAGAATAGCATAAATACTTTTAAGCTAGGTTAAATTCAATTTAACTGGAACAAATAAGGCAATTTTAATGGAACAGTACAATTTAGGAATATTATTTTTTTAAATATATAAATATATTTTGACAAACTAAAAAGTTAAAAAGTTTTCTTTTAGACCAATAGGTCTCTATCAGGAATAGTTAAGCAAGCATAGGCAAATAGAATATCATCCAGTGAGTCATTTCATTGATTTCTTTATTTTTGATTCTTAATTTTTTGACAGGAGGTTTTAAATGGACAGCCTTCTAGAAATGGGGATGCAGCAGTCTTGGGTGTTAACGGTAATGGGCAACCATCAAGTGTTATGGTGTACAAAGAGGACGACACAGTGACTTATCACGACCTTCAGAAGGATGCCTGGGAGACTCGTCTTTAGGTGTAAAACCCTCACTTATCCTGATTTTATACTCAGCTGATACAAGAAAGCATAAACTATGACTGACAACTAAGATACGTTTTTAATCAGTCAAATATCGTCTTTCTGTTATTTTTTTTTTTCCCAGAGCCAAAGTATTCATGTATAGTTCTATGCAAAACAGATATTTAAATGTTTACTGTACATTATTATAAAAATGATTTGTTCTATACACATAATGTAATCATCTTCATAATGGGAGATTATATCATAACATACAAATCAAATGTTGTAAAAAATAATGACTTAATCAAAATTCTTAGGACTGAGCTCAGTGACTCACAAACTTAGTTTTAATCCCAAGCCATTTAATAAATGAAAATTAGAGTGATCCACAAAACCTCAAACATTTTAGACTCACTTCTAGTTGAGATTCCCAAAGGGCTTGCAGAAATGTCATTGTGAGCAATGTTTGGGAAATAAGTTAGGATAAGAACTACTGGATTCAGATTTAAAATTGTTCATCTGTAAATGATGAGAGTAGAGAAAACTTTTACATGTTTAGCTAGTCACACAACTTGCACTTGTTCATACCTGACAATCAAAGTGGATTGCAGTCTCACCAAATGAAGAACAAACGAGTTCTGTATCTTTTTAGATAATAGATTTTAGATAATAGCTTAGAACATTGATTTAAGTCCTTTTGAAGTAAGTGTTTGCTTTGTGCTAGTTCAATTGTTTTTCATGGACTTCATTGCTGAGATAGTTTGACTAGGCAAGAATTATGTTTCATTTTATGTGCTTTTTTGTGAGATTGATTGACCTTACAATAAATTTAGTCTCTAAATAAAAATTTTATGCTGAATTTACTTCCTTAGACAATGGCTTTGTCTGCACGAGATGCAGGAAAATATGCAGCTTGAAATTCAGTTTGCATAGTCATGTGAAACACTGCATTCATTCTTAATCTTCAGAATCAAAGAAATAGCCTTAATTATTATGCTGAATTTACATTACATTCTTGTTAGCATCAGCCTAGTAATGTTTTTTTTTTAAACTATTTTGAAACCAGGAAAAATAAAATAACAACAAAACTTGCCTCATTAAATACTTAAATATAGTTGGTTTATCTGTCTTAATAAGTGCATAAGAATAATTGCATCTTTTACATAATAAATGATAAATGTGAAGTGTGGCTGTTTATGTTTATTGACTTGAACAATGTTGGGTGAAATGTTCACATCAATTATTTATCAGTTTGATTCTAGCATTCATACTTTCTAATTTCATCCTTGTTAGTAACTTGTTAGTTGAGTTGACTGTAAAGGTGTTTGTGGTACGTTGTGCTATAGATATTATTTACATTTAGTATTATCCCCAACTCTTGCCAAAATTGTACTGCATTTTGTTTTTCAATTTACAGACCCATACATTCAGAAAGATTTTGTGTTAGACTAATTTGCCCTAAATTATTTTTTTTGTGTGTAAACACATGAAGTAAAAGAAAATGTAGCTTCAAATGATACTGCGATCACAAAGTCAGTGACTCTGAAATATCTTTTTGGTTACATGCATCACTGTTTAAGCTTTGAGTCCTGGGTTTATTTTGTGAGTCCTGGTCTGGGTCCATTGTTTAAAAGTGTGTGAAACTAGTTTTCTTGTTAAGTGAAAGGTTCAAGTTTTATTCCTTGCTTATCAGGAAGAAGGACTGTCAGTAAATCAAAACATCAGGTTTGATCTTGCTTGTGCTTGGACTTGGTATCTTCCACAGCTCTAAACTGGTGGTTTTATTTGATTAACCTTCAGCTTTCCAAACCAAAGCTAAGACCAACCTTAGGATCCAGTTTAGGATCATTTGAACACTACTAGTGGGTTTGAGATATCCTAATGAGTATTGTCATGTAGCCAAGTTTAAATGCTTCATTATTTGTATGTTCTAAATGTGGTACATAAATACAGGAATTAAAAGTGTGACATGAGTGGAAGTGAACAAATAGTTTGAACTTCATTTAACATAGAAAAATGTTTAGGTTTTTTGTTGCTTTGTTTTTATGACCACATTTAATATATAACTTCAATTACAATATACACATGTATGACAATTATAAGCAATTAATTATGAGTGTGCTCAGATGTAGCATTCCATAACAGAAATGTTAAACTGCGTTCCATGACACAAATGATCTGTTTGTGACACTGCTTTTTTATCCTCTGTTTAATTTATTCCAAAACATTTATTTTTTTCTGATTTAATTTTATAAAATAAAATAGTGTTTGCTTCATTTCTCTTTCTATTCATTTTTTGTAAGATGATTTTCTTTATTATACATAACAATGTGAGGTTTGTTTTTCATAGTAAAACATCTCTAAATATAAAATACTTTTTTGTTTATGAAGCACATTGCTATCAAAGTTATAAAAGTTTGATCATCACAAATTTTGTGTGAAAAAAAATAAGAACATCGATCTTTATATATTTCTTCTTAGATTGACCTCATATTTCCAATAGATTATAATTACTAATTTTAGTACCTGTAATTTCAAATGAATAATAGAATTTTCTTATTTTTTATGTTAGTTTTTGTTTTGTTTTTTTCAGATGTAATTTTTGTTTTATTACCAATATGGATTCATTTTTTTTTTTTTTTTTTACTTTTTAACAGATGCTCACAATATCTGTTTAGAAAAAAAAACAAAAAAAAAACTAGTAATTAAGTTTTGCAAAATGGTTGAAATGTATGATTTAGAGCCCTTGCATCATAAATATCACATATATATTTCTATGTGAATGAAGAGTTTGTTTTTGAAAATAATTTGTGTGATCTCAGCATGCTTTTTGGTCTCTTACATCTAAAAATTTATCCATACCAAAAAAAAACGCTTGAAGGCATGATGTGTTACTGTACTCCTGAAATTTACCATTAATTTTTAACAAGTTTACTTTGACAATATGGATTATCACTTATTGAAAATGAACCAAAAGTTAATTAAAAGGGATTGTTTCCCACAATTTTTAAACTTCATTAACATAAATAACAGCATGGATCATAAAGTGAAAAATGTTTATTATAGATTTATGTGTTTTTGAACATAAAAAAAGTTTATTTCTACTGTAAATTGTATAGCGTCCTAACATAAAATTGGTTATCTATTGTATTTTTATTGACATTTATATAGGAAACTTTATTGTACACATAATGTTGACTACATTTGAACATTTTATTGTCACATAATAAATTTGTTTTCTTGTTCATATTTTGCTGCCTTCCAAAGACAAAGCATCTGATGAAGTTGAAATATATATTTTTAATTTATATAATACTTTTTTTTTCTTTCCTTTACAAATATTAAAAAAAATGATTTTTTGAACAAAATTTTTATATTTATAATATATGTATATTACATTTTTTAAATTGTATGTTGTATATTTGGTAATGTAATAAATACATGAGATGTCTTACATTTGGAATTTATAATCTAGAGTCACATTCCATAAAATCACAAGTTTCACATTGTAAATATTGTTTACTTATCACTAAAGCAATAAAGTGTAAAACATTCCATTCGGCAAGCTTTATGGACAACTAAAGATATTTCAATGTTGTTGTTCTTTCAATATATATAAGGAATTAAAATTTCATGACTAATAATTGGCTTGGCAATATATACTAACCAATGTAAGGCCAATGTATCATCTGTTTTATTATTTTTGAAGTAGTCATTATTATTCTAGCTCTAAATTAGCATTCTTGTTTTATTCAAATTTTGTTGGGACAAGATATAATCATCAAGGATGTCTATAAAAAGGATTTTTTTTAACACAAGTTAAATTGGCTAAAGGAAGTAAAGTAAAAGTTCTCATTTCAGACCATGTGATCTATATGGCAGATGATGTAAGGGTCATCTGTTTCTGCGACCCACAGTTATCAAGAGTATCATGCAGCCAGCACAATGACCAACCACTTTGATTTTACCCCCCAACTCACTCCAGGTACCCATTATAGTTGGATCAGCTAAGGGGTGCCCTGAAAATCTTCAAAATCCCAGTGTCTCCATGATTCAAAACACTTTCAAAACAATTTGTTTTTGATGAAGGAAATTTAGATTTGTAATGAAAATGTATTTTAAAAAAAAAAACGTTTTTGTTTGTTTACATCCAGCACAAGCCATTGCTGTCCCGAACCTCTTTAGCCTTGAAACCTTAAGACAACCATGAAACAGAAAATGACCTGTGGTTGTAACCTGTGGGTTTCACTCTGACCATTATCTGCTTAAGACTTGTCTATATCCCTAATACTTTAATAAAATCATACAGCATGTAGTAGCCCCTCTAGTATCACCAAAGAATTCAGTAACCAATGACAGGGTGTGCATTATTACTCTCTGTAAAAAAAAAAAATTTCCTATGCTATAAAATTGAATCGTATATACATGTGCATAGTCATTATTCTATGTTTGTGAATGTCATATTGACATAATATAATCTCATTGCCTTAATATTGTTACTATTATTATTCATTTATATTTATTTATTATGTGTATATTTGAAGGCATATCATAAATGATCAAAATAAATTATATTGTACTACTACTTTGTGTGGCTTCATTTTGTTTTGTTTATTTTTACAAAGCTTAAATCACTCACTTCTGGCTGTTAAAAAGTTTGAACATGTTTTTTTCTCCCTTTTAAAAACTTTGCACAAGTCTTTATTGAACACCTATCAATTAATGAAAATATTAGTTAATTAATTGTGAATGATTAATTATTTTGTTTGATTTGAAATAAAGGGAATAAATGCTAGTTAATGAGAGATGTGTATATATATATATATATATATACTTTGTCCATCGTGGTTCGACGATGACCACTTTTGTCATCCAGGGGGCTGAGATGTGGATATATATATGTGGATTTAGTCCCCTTATTATGTTCTTTCACTTCCCAGTCTCGGATCAAGTTGAACCAAGTTATAGTTGTTACATGCAAAAATTAGCCAAAAAGTGAATCATTAAGTACTTATTAATTAATTTTGTTTTATACAGCAGAAAAGGAGCTAACCCTTAATTTTCAGGTAAATGTTAGTAATAGATGGTTATTTCCCCTTAGATGAGCTTTGGTTTTTAAAAAGTATTCTTTTTTTTTTATTGCTTTATTTTATATCAACTAAACAGAATGTCAGTTATTAAGAGTAACAAAAAGAACTAAAACAAATTAATTCCACTTTTCTTATTCATGGCAAACCAGTAACACAGACTAAAAACACAAAATACTTTAATGTTATAATAAATGAAAAATTTCTGTAGAATCCCCATATTGATGAAACTATTTTAAAAAATCAAACAAAGCATTAGGGTTTATTAAAAGAAATTTATATAAATCAAATAAAAACATAAAACTAAAATGTTTTTTCACCTTGGTTAGGCCAATAATTATATAATAGAATATGCATCATCTGTTTGGACCCCTCAACTCAAGAAAATATTAAGAAACTGAAACAGACACAAAATAGAGCAGTGAGATTCATAACAAACGAATATTCACATTTGACTAGAGTAACACCCATAGTAAAATCACTAAATTTAGAAAGCCTTCAGATGTTATGATATGTATTTAGAGTAATTTTGTGTATTAATCTCGAAACAAAAAGAGTAGATAGAACTAAACAGGAAATACGACATGGTAAGGGACGCGAGGAAGGAAGTAAGATAGAGACGCTTAGAGAGAAGACTCGACGACCATTTTCGCTTGTAAATAAACGTTTTAAATATTTGAAAAGCGTATATTAGTTATTTCACGAGCGTCTGTAAAGCCGAGCAGCTGTGGGAAACTCGCATGTGATGGCATAGTTCTTATTGGAGCTTAACACAGGATAGAAGACTCAAAAGTAAAGTAGCAATTATACATAAAACACTGAACCATAATCTTCAAATACATAAACAAAATCTATTAAAATACTCAGAAAAACACAAGGATAAATGCACATTCCTCGTTCCATATGCTAGGACAAATTTGTACCAATGCTCCTTCTTCCCTAGTGCTATTAGAGCATGGAATGGGTTGCCTGAGCTAGCCAGGAAAACCAGTGACATAGCAGAATTAAAGTAATTGGTTAACATGCATGACTAAATGCATCTTCTTTTTTTTTTTAAGTAACGTCAGTATTATATAAGATAAGATAAGATTTAGTGTGATATTAACATGGGAATTAAATCCTTCAGTATTCACAGATAGGCTAAATATGAAGGGGTTATTTCTCCCACACCCATAACAATTTTACAATAGAAGAGTAACAGGATATTGTACAGCAGACACCTCAAAATATGCATTCTTTTTTTATTTTCAAATACAGGAAATAATGCTAGAACACTCCCCCTGCTACCATGGTAGGTGTATATCTACTGTCGTTCCACTAAATCCAGAAAGAACCTATTCAAGCAAGAGGCACTAAAAAAATGCAAGGGCTGGATGTATCGAAGATGTATCACTCTCCCCCTCCCCTCCTTTTACGAAAAAAAAACCGGCCCACGCCCATGGTTGCAGAGGTTGAGCATATATGGGATGCGAATAAATGACCGATGGGCCGGCATCAAAAGGATCGTTGAGGCTGCCTCCAAATGGGCCACTTTGGGTGAAAGTAAGAAATAATAAACTTTCAGTAACAGCGTTGACTCCTGGTTAGCACAAAACGAATTCAACGATAGAGGCGCCTATGTTGTATTTCTTCGCAAGACAAAGAATTCTGACGAAAATGAAAGAAAGTTTCAAACCATCACGCATCGATCATTATCCTCTTAGAATCATTTGAGAATAGAACTTTACCACATATTAATTTCGTGAAACAACTCATTTTCACTACTATGTTTTAACCCCGATAATTGCAATCTTTCTAAAACTTTTTCAGTATGGAACATTTTTCAGTGCACTCCACCTGAAAGCTATAGGCCTAATTATGCTGTCGTATCGGCTGCTTCTTACTCGGCAAATTATAATCCATCATATTGGACAGAAAACTAGGATTCCCATTTCATACATCACACTCCACTGCCGTTGTTGATTCCTTGTGCCTTTTTATAAACGGATCTCTGCCTGTAGGTCCGTGTTGGACATCGATGCTCGTTTTATCTCCGACATTTCTTACTCTGTCACTGACGAATCGAAGGATAATTCAAGTCATAAAATATTGTAAATGATTAATCAAAAAGATGACACAGAGAAACTCGGGGAGTCGACCATCAGTTTCAGAAAAGACGGTAAAATGCCTCAAAGTAGAAACTATATTCTAGCCTCAAATATAAAGACACAAAAAATAAAGGCAAATTCCTCTTTCCATATGCTAGGACAAATTTGTACAAATGCTTCTCTCCCCTAGTGCTATTAGAACATGGAATGGTGCATGACTAGATACATGACAGGACGTATTCGTCTTTTTTTTTTAGTCTCGCAATAAAAATCTCGTTGGGGTAATAGTCAATATGAAAAATGAAAAAAATATTACATAATATATATAGTATACATCTATACTAGACTAGATCTATTAATATATAAGATAATATATAGAAGCCCCCGAAGCGCGAACATGAAATAGTATTTTATAATATAAATAAGTAGGCTAACGTCGAAAGGCGGTCAGATTTAGAAACAAACGCATTGACCGATATTTTTTTTTTTTTTATGAAAGCGGGACATTGGCCGTCCCGCCAGGATATTTTATGAAAATGTGACAGACGGTCCAAAGCGTGACTGGGACTGTCCCATCCAAGTCGATCCTACATTTTCTCCGGATTTTGTCGGTAGATGTGCTTTTGATATCGGTAATTCTCGGGTAATATACATTTTACGTTAGTTTGTGCTGATTTCACCGGAAAGGGAATCAGTTTATTGTTGTTGAGGATCCAAGGTACCGGCTCCTCCACGTCATTCTGTGTATATTTACTTTGTAAAGTTTATTAACATTGATTTGTTTGGTGCACTTGGAAGGACGCTAGAAGCCGAAGTCTTTTCTTGTTTTAAAAATGAATACATCAACTGTGATTTTAATTTTATTTATTTTATTCATTGACTCTTCCATGTCGGGGGAACTTACTTTCGAGCTTCCTGATAATGAAAAAATGTGTTTTTATGAAAATGTTGAACAAGGGGAACAAGCTACACTTGAGTTTCAGGTGCTTTAAATTTATCTGCATATCTAGATACTAGTACAACTTTGGGTATATCATAGATAGAAGGCTACGGGTTTACCACAATGAGAATCCTACCGTGAACAATATTAATTAATATTGTCACATTGTGAATATACTATTACTATAATTATAAGACAAGACTTCAGTCTTCACTTAGTAATTATAGATCTAAATAATAATAAATCTAATATTAATAAAAATCATAAATGATAATATAATTAATAATAATATTATAATAGTGAATATACTATATAAACTATATTGGTAGATTATATAATATATTAATAATTAATAGATCTAGTATAGATCTCTACTAGATCTATATTTGATTATTTAATTATTTTTTTTCATTTTATTGACTATTACGGTAGCTAGATTTGTATTGCCAGACTAATTAAATGATATTGAAAATCACTTGAACTAAATTTGGATCTAGTCAATCTAGTCTAGATATAATATGATAGATCTACATAAAGAATTGATAGATCTATGAGATCAATATCTTTTTGCCCAGTCCCAGCCATGATGTAAAAAATCTAAAATGGTTTCACATGTTACTTCAGAGTTTCAGATAATCTTCTTCCTAAGACCTAATCCAAAACTCTGCAGGACACCAGGGAATGGCAGCAGGCAGGGTATTGAGTATCGTCCATCAGGATGACTTAATGACAGTTTATGTGCATACCATATGACCAGCCAGCCATCCTGGTGATGATGTCTGGTGTTGGGCATAGTAATCTAGATCAACCTTTGCCTTTACATCTTGAATCAGCTAGCTGATCTAGAAATCTCAATCCATGTGTAGGAGCTATCCCCATCCTTGCATGAATGTTTTGATTTGCCCATAAGATGAGTGGGTTTGGTTAGTTGATGAGATTGCATTTTTTATAATTTAATGCAGACATCAATGCTTTGTTTCAAAGAGGAGACCCCATTCTAAAACAAATTACTTTGCCTTTTGATCTTAAAGCCATTTAAAACAAAACAACAGTGTAATTAAGACATACTTATTTTATTAAAACAAATATTATGCAATTATACTATCTATAAAAAAACACATTTATATAAAAACTTTTTCTAGCTGTCAATTTTTTTCAGTTTATGGAAAGATTTTAAAAATGACATATAGATTATTATAGACCCTATGTATGTAAGTTTTATAAGTATTAGATGTGTCTTCAGAAAGGAAGATTATTACGTCCTAGCCCAAACATCCTGTACAATGGCACGGTTTGTATTCAGGACTATTGAGACTATAGTCTAAAAGCGCTTACTAAGCATTCATCTTCAGAATTTAGAATAGGAGATAAACTATAAAGTTCCTTTTTAGTTCCACCTTCCTTTTTCCTATACATGCAATTTTGGCAAGCCTAAAATTTATTGGCAAAAAACTCACGGGTGTGCCCATG